TGTGCAGTATTCCAGTTCCTTGTTTTATCCAGTCCCTCCTGCCTGACAACTACAACAATCCATAGGGTAGTGAGTAGCTCCAAGATAAAAACTCAATCTGCTCCATGAGCAACCAAGAACCTCTATCACCTACCACACTTGATTCCTCATGCTCGCTGCACCTACAAGTATTCAGTCTAAAGTCAGCTATGTAAGGTAAAAACTTGCATTTAGAAGGGCTTTCCAGGTGATGTCAGCTTTAAAGGACCCGGTGAAGGCAGTCTGCATCTTCAGTGGTAATCAACAAAGTTAACACGAAGAGAGAGTAGCTTTGTGTATGGATCGTACTGTGAAAAGTTGCAATAGAATACACTTCCGAGGAAAGACTACAACTTTGTCCTATTGCCCTGACTACTCAAACTTTCCTTTTTCTTTTGAGTGAAAAACCATGGCTGAATTCATCCCCAAAGCAGTTGCTCCTATAGGTTATGACTTGAAAAACTAAAAACTGATCTCGGGTATATGCCTGGACATTTGTAAGGTCTAAATAAGCCTCTTAATTTCATGGCAATATTATAAAAACCTCATTATGGGGTTCCTACATTGCTTTGAGAGGTTGAGGGAGGGAACAGGCAGGTCATGCTGTATAGTTAAAACAAAAGTGTACACTTTTTTTTCATTATATTGAAAAAACAATGGAGCAGGATGAATTACGAAGTGGAATTACTAAATTTAAGTAGAATTATCAACTCTGTAACGTTCCTAAATAAAACTATGTGCTAATAAAATAACTTTACTGGTGTTATCAACATATGAAGACAAATCTTTTGACATGACTTCAAAATATTTTACATTTATTCTTAAACTGTATTTTAGCAGAAGTAACTTTTCTATCCTAGTTCTATTTTATGAAAGCCATTGCAAGACTTCCATTTTCTTTGAAGTGGAAGGTGCAGGGAAATGGGTGGGGGAGGGGAAGAGGCCTGGAGAAGAGCAGCAATAGTAAAAGCTGATGATGAAATATTTTTTCATAGCTAATTCCCCTTCTAGACAATTGCAATTACTCTGCTTTCCATGGTGGTGATACAAGAGGTTAAACAAGAAATTCCCAAAGTATGAATTCAGAGTGAACATTTCAATTCTAGCAACAGTAGGCATAGAGTGTTTAATATATCCTCTTAATATATCCTCACTCCAGTTTAATGCACCTGGATCAGTCTTCATCATTCCCTCTAATATCCAAAATATATACCTCTATTAGGCTGCTTTTCTGAGCATCCAAGCCTTAAACCTCACGACCCTATGAATTGGTACTATTACCAACATTTTGTAGGGAAAGAAATCAAGGCACAAAGTAATTCACCCAAAATCACCAGCTACTAAGTGGTGGGGCCAAGATTTGGATGTGGACAATCTGATCTCAGAGGCCACACTCCTTAATGATGTATGAAGTCACTCAGACATAGTAACTTATATTACAGACCTTATTTCCCACATTTCCCAGGGCCTAAAGTTTTTTCTGCTTCACATTAACAAGACATGTTAGAGCCTTGGATTTACGTTGTCAATATACAAATTTTATTCATTCCTTGTAATAGATACTGAATTGAAATTTCAATGACTAATGGAATTCATGCCATATACACATTCTGATTTTGGATTTCCTATCAGCAAACATCCTATTCAATAGTCCTTGGGGGTTTCGAGTATATTCAGAAAATGAAATCTCAGTAATTGCTGACAACAAACGAGTACGTATTAAGTTTTTCAAACCAAGTGAAACTGCTTGAAAAACACCCTTTAAAAATAAGAATGTACTCATTAATTAACAGGCAAATAAAATTAAAGCAACCACTAAACAGGTTTTAAGTGAGGGTTCCTCCCAGAACTTGGAAATAAATTAGATAGCCCTCAGAATTTACTTTTGAGATTAAGGGATCACAGTGAACAGGTTAAGTTACATTTATAAGAACAAAATTACTCTTAGCCACACAACCTTCAATGTATCTTGCTTACCTAAAAACCTGTCAGGCAGAGCAGACACTGGTAAATTATACAGAACATAAAAAGGAGTCACAGGAACAAAAGCTGGCTGTGCCCAACTACATTGCAGAATAAAAAATGGATGCATGGTACCAGACCAAAACACTTCGAGCATTCCAGACCCACTGGCAAGGTTACTGCTGTCAAGATGTTTCAGAGGCAAACCTCTCTTACAAAATAACCACTCCTGATTACTGGGTTTACATGTCAGCTTACAGTGATCAAATGTCAGGTACTAACGTAGCTGTGAATTCTCTAACATATTGGTATAGTAACTTGGCACCTGGGGCAGCCAGGGAGTGTGCTGCTCTCCCAATGTAAAAATCTGTCTGAATTAACCTACCATAAACAGATGGCCACGAGATCAGCATAGATGATCCTGTGAGCTCATTAATACAAGGTTCCCTGAGTGTGGGATCTGTTGATGCTTCAACTGGGTAAAGAAAGTTGAGTGATTCCTCCTGCCTCCTAACAAAGCCTCTTGAGTGAGAAACTGCTGAATCAAAAATTCTTTGTAACAGGAGCTCTCAAATTTTCCACATCTTAAAAATTGCCTAGGAATTTCAGCATGGTAGTATGTGTGAAACAATTACTTTTTGTTTAGATACAATTTGAGAATGGTGAGGTATCTTGGGAATAAAACCATCTTCCATTCCAGATATTATCATGTTAAAAAAATCCTTATTTTCATAATAAATGCAAAAGCCTAAAATACCTAACCAACTAAGTATACTTAAGGAGTACATTAGTCATGCATATATAAGCAGTGGTTTATTTTTAAGATTTGTTAAAGAATAAAACCCAGCAATTTAATATTATAACAAGGCCGGTCGAGTGGCTCAGTTGGTTAAGAGCTCACTCAAGAGTGCGAGCTCTGAGCAACAGGGTCGCCAGTTCAATTCCCAGCCTGAGTTGAGCTGCTGCTAAATTGCCAACAGGTTGGCAGGATGGCTCAGCTAAAAAAAAAAAACAAACAAACATGTGCTTAAAATTCTTTAAAAGACATGCAGTAAAAAAAAAAAGGTTACAGGGCCCGCTGAGTGGCGCGTTAAGAACTGGCTTGGGATGCCAGAGGGCCCCGGTTTGGATCCCACATATGAGGGCCAGTGACACTGCTCTCTACAGCTAAGATGCTGAACAACAGCTTGACCTGGAGCTGGGCTGCCGTGGGTCACCGGCAACGGCATAGGCTGCAGTCCCCTGCTGCAGTGGGTTGCCATGGGCTACTGTGTGTAGCCGGCAGCCAGCGTGAGCGGCCATCCAGAAGCCGGCGACTGATCTGCCTCACCCAGGAAGAGCGCAATGATGGTGCCAGCTTGGGCCAGTGAAGCAACATCCTCCACAACTAGGCTGAAGAACAAACGAACAACTTGTCTGTTCCCCTTCCCGCTATTCCCCAATAAAATCTAAAAAAAAAAAATTTATATTTGGTGACCTAAAGTAGGTCTCAAGTAGTCATTTCTTTAGTTTCAAAGGGGTAAGACAGGACAAAAATTAAGGTAGGCTACTGACAGGAGAAAAATTCTCAGATGCTCTAAATTAAATTAATAGCAGGCCAGAGGTTGGGTGAGAGACAGGGGAAATCAATCCATTAACAGAGCCTTGGTCTGAAACAAGACTGCTCACATGCTTGACTGTACGCTGAAACTCTGAATTAACTTCCAGGTGGCTGTTTCGGTGACTATTGAAAGAGCTGATCACCAGATGACACCTCATCCAGTTTACACGTGAACATTCCAGACTGTGGCCCACAACCAATCCAAAAGGAGCAAATACCTTTTCAGCTTATGCGCCTATCCCAGAGCGGTCCCCTGCTTCACCTGCCCCACCCCTTTTATCCAGAGCCAATGTAAATTCTTTCAAAACAACTTTCATCTTTCTTCCCCAAACTCATTGTATAAAACAGCCCCGTCAATCCCTGGGCAGCAGACACGTCTGTCTTCTCCACCTGATCCTGCGGCTGATGGTTTAATCTGCATGCCACAGGTCTGGTCCTTCCTCTGGCTAGCATTTTGCTCAGTAAACCCTCTTTCAGAAAAACTGTTGGCCTTGAAGGTTTTATAAACATAATTGTAATCTGTTGGTACAGTAATGTAAGCAACTCTTCATGAAATTCTGCATGAAACCATGTATCACGGTAGAAACTTTGACTCTTAAGAACTCTAACCAGAATGAACTGCATACTCAGAGAAAGAGCAAGTGCATCTTAAATACATTCAAAGATAAACCCAGGGCTGATCAAATAACTTTTCAGTATTTAGATACCTGCAACAACAAATGAACCTCAGGTTAAACAAGAAAAAGGATCTAGGACATTTTGCAAAGCCTTAACCAATAAAAGATGCTACTGCCAGTTTTGTAAAGTAGGCTTCCAAGAATGTTTCTATGAAAAGATATTCCTTTGCTTTGGTTCTGAAAATATATTTTAAGGTAGCTAAGGCAAATATTTAGGGGGCACAGCTCAATACTGGAAAATTAGCTGAAAGAGGTAGAAGTAAAGCCTTTCTATGCAATGTGCTTCTGTATAAAGGTAACAGTTCTAAGACCTAGGGAAAAACACAACTAAAAAATGAACCACTCTTTTATAGGCTGTTTAAAAGATAATGCTTTTTAATATTTCAAATATTTAAAAAAATCTCATCAAAAATGTATCACCTTAACAGTACTTTGCACATGTGGAATTTCATACCTAAATCTGATGATACTATTTTGGTTTACTTATGGCTACTTACAAGAAGACTCAGTAATAATGTCCATTCACTAGTCTTTTTCTTTGGTTGAGCCTATTGGGACCAGGCTGATGAACTATTTTATGCAAATGAGATGGCTGAAGCAAATTCATGGTAATATAAATTATAAGTGTTTTCATTTAATGGAAATGAAAGTTATAAGGACTTCCATATTTATCCCCATTGTGGTTTTGGAAGCTAATATCCTGCTCAGAGGTTAAAGAGTTTGAATAGCTCACACAAATCCTGTAAAAATTACAACTGGCTGCCCTTTAATAAATAAAGTCATTGTAAAGATTTACATTTACAGAGTGAAAAGTGAATACATAGCATTTCAAATTCAATTTTGGAAGTACTAATAAGTACTGACTCATAACAATATACACTAGCTACCTTTTTAACTGTCCATCATTAGCACCAATGAAGATTCAACAAAATTACCTTTATTCCCACATCTCAAAACAATCCTGCAAATTCTTTGTGAAGTTTAAGTATAGTCACAGACCTTAAATATTCACATTGTTTTCTATGTCATACTGAAAATAAGTTCACTACTTTTCTGGGTATTCTTTACAAAATCTTATTAAAATTCCTGGTATTATCATCCCCAATTATACAGTAGCACAACAACCCTATGTAGTTTCACATGATTGCTCCTTAGAGATTTCACATCTAAATTACCAAGAACAAAACCCTTCCCTCCCTAATTTTTGCATTCAGCGTAATTCTACACTAGTCCTTGGATTATGTACCACTGTCAAAGTATAACTGTATCAAAATTATGATGTTTGTGGATACAATAATATGCCATACAGAACAACAAAGTTACAAGTAATGACAAAGATTACTAAAGTTATGCAAGACAAGAACAAATGTTAGGACATGCTAGCTAAGCAATGTCCCTAGAAAGAGGCTCCTAGTGTTCT